TCAGTAACTACTAGGGCTGCGCAATATAACCGGTTTACCGGTATTTACCTGTTCAGATATGAAAACGATACGTATTGCGATACGCTGATCGAAAACCGGTATTTTGACATGCATTCGGAAAACTTCGTAACACTCGGAAATCTTCGGATATTTCCGTTTTTTGAATAGTTAGGCACTGCCGACCTGTTTGACATGTTCTACTGAATCATAATGACTAATAGAGATGTCCAATAATGCAAACAAGGATCAAACATTGTGAAGCAATATTTCTGAAAAGAAACATTAGTAAAGTTGCTATCTCTGCAGCTTCGTTTGCCTGCTCATATTGAGTGAATATATCTACCATGATGAACACGTAGTTGCAATGGCAGCAGGGCTCACTCACACAATGTCAAATGTAAACAACACATTCCCAAATGTGAAGTCCGAAAGGTGATTTTTTATATATAGTATTTTATTATCACAGTTTATATCTCGTATGGAGGATTCAGGTCTCCAGTTAACGTGATGCGGCTCTGCCAGGGTGACACACTGTTAGCTGTGGTGTCCAGTACATGGTCTACATCTATCTGACACACTGTTAGCTCTGGTCTCCAGTACATGGTCTACATCTATCTGACACACTGTTAGCTCTGGTCTCCAGTACATGGTCTACATCTATCTGACACACTGTTAGCTCTGGTCTCCAGTACATGGTCTACATCTATCTGACACACTGTTAGCTCTGGTCTCCAGTACATGGTCTACATCTATCTGACACACTGTTAGCTCTGGTCTCCAGTACATGGTCTACATCTATCTGACACACTTTTCGTCTCCAGTACATGGTCTACATCTATCTGACACACTGTTAGCTCTGGTCTCCAGTACATGGTCTACATCTATCTGTCACACTGTTAGCTCTGGTCTCCAGTACATGGTCTACATCTATCTGACACACTGTTAGCTCTGGTCTCCAGTACATGGTCTACATCATGTCTGAAGCACACTGTTAGCTCTGGTCTCCAGTACATGGTCTACATCTATCTGACACACTGTTAGCTCTGGTCTCCAGTACATGGTCTACATCTATCTGACACACTGTTAGCTCTGGTCTCCAGTACATGGTCTACATCTATCTGACAGACTGTCGGACACGGGTCTGGACCTTCTCCTCTTGAAATATGACACGAGATTTGCGTAGAGAATAGCTCGTTGTTTCTTCAGTTTTGCTGGAAGGTCAGTTCGAATTGACATTCGTTTGCCTTTAAGATATTTCGATGACCTTAACACCATATCTCTGCCAGCCATACTCAAGAAGCTGGCTATGATTGGGGAGGGAGTATCTGGGGTGGGGTCATCGGGGAAGGGTTTTCTGGGGAGCCGGTGGATGGCTTTAAAGTAGATATTGTCTATTGTATTGTCATGCAGGTTGAGGTCTTTAGCGAACATATCGCGAAGAACCCTCTCGGAGTCCTCATTTACATTTTCCTTTATGCCGTAAAACAGGAGATTCGTCTTACGGTCATGGATTTCTTGACGCAACAATCTTCTTTCAAATGTAGTGGTTTGCTCAGTTAGTTTGGACTTAAGAGTTTCTATCTCCGATTTCAAATCTTTCACTTCACTTTCATGAATGGCGGCCATGCCTTCCACGTCATCAACACGTTTTGTGATGATACACATGTCTTGTTTTAAGTCGTTTATGGCCTTATTTAATGCCATATTCCCGTTATCTATCTTATCAGAGAGTCTTTCTCCATATTGGCTAGAAGGTCTTCAAAATTAGGGCTTGTAGATGAACGGGTGTTCACGCCCGACTTAGACTGTTGTGTCGACATTTTGCGTGAGTAAAAAGGTTCAAAAAGTCTCCAGATAATTTTACTCACTTTCTTCAGGAAGGCCGGTGTATCCCCTTGTAGAGTTTTCTTATGAAAAAGGCAGTTTTTCAGTGTTCTGTCATCTGTTAGCGCATCGGATATTCGGGGGGTGGGAGAGCAGCTCACACACGCGTCCTGTCGTACCGCATGCGCAGCCGGAAGCCTTTTCCTGACAGTTAAGGTTAACTAAGGTTAACTCCAGACAATATTATACACCTGCCCAAAAGGAAAAATTCAAACCCCATGAATATTAATTAAAATATCACATTCAACTATCATCAAATTGACAAATTTAATCCGCCGTGCATCCTCCCTGCATCCGAAATATAAACTGATATTATACTGATCATCAAATGCAATAATCTAATTGAATTATCCAGTGACATATGGGACTATTATAGCATATCGATACACGAACACTTAATCACATTTTCCAGGTGTAACAAGGTGAGAAGCTTCTTACCAATCGTCAATGTCATAATTGTTTCTTGAAGTTTTCCTGGACATCAAAGTGATCGATTTATGTCCAGGTGCTATTTTGTTTGGGACCAGCGCGTCTTTCCTCTTTTATCAGTTGTACCAGGGCTCTACGCGTTGTCCTAACCTAAGTAGAAACACGCATTAATTGATGTTCGAAACATGTTCATTTTGACCGCATCACTGCAACCGAAAACACTTGCTGGGTTCAAAAGTCATCTTAGTATTGGGATCAATACGACACTTCCGCATTACAAAGAAAATAGTGCAGGGGATAAAAAAGTTAAATGGATATTTCCGATATGCTTCTTGAGAAAAGATTGATTTCCGTTCATCAATTCTTCATCATGTCCTTGGAAACAAAGAAGAAGTGACCAGTTTAAACAGTAAACGGGTTATTTGATAACAAAAACTGTTAGATCTTTTTAACATGTGCCCTATCAGGATGCTCTGGCAATTGTTTCTTTTATCGTTACCCAGATGGCATTTTCATGTCATACTGACCTGCATTAAAACGCTACTCTATAATTTTCTGATAAATCATGTTAGGTTCCAAGTCGAAAGGGGATTTTGTCTAACACTAATGTGTTTTAATTATGTACAGTATAGAAGATAAAAGATACATGTCATAAAAGCATGGAATGGTTTAACATACGTGTCAACTTAAGTTTAAGTGTAAACCTCGAATACTTCTTATCCTATAGGGGCGGTCGGGGTAGTGTAGTGGTTAAAGCGTTGTCTCGTCACTCCGAACAGCCGGGTTCGATTCCCCACATGGGTACAAGGTGTGAAGCCCATTTCTGGTGTCCCCCGCTGTGATATTGCTGGAATATTGCTAAAAGCAGCGTAAAACTAAAGCTCACTTACTCACTGCTTATCATATATTATATATATTATATTATAAACTGGGCAAAAGAACGCCTACAGCTGTTGAATGGTGAAAAATAAACACGAAATTGTTTTTGCGTCGCGATCTGTTCGACCATAGATGTGTTTCGAAATTAAAGTTTGTGGTGTTACGGCGACTGTTTTTAGCCTGGTATGATTTTAAAAACTTTTGTAATGTTTTGGTCAAGTCGAAATACCACGTGTATATTTTCCTGTGTCATGTTATCCAGCGTGATGTTACTTTAGCCTGTTATAATCAAACCTTACCAAGGAGGCGTGTTATTGATGGAGGTTTAATGCTACATAATGTGTTTAATATTATGAGAAAAACCTCCGAGTGTCGACACACAGCCCGAAGTTGTAGTTTATGTAGACAGCAGCACGCACACACGCGTGCGGTCACGCACACACACACAGATGAAACGGGTTCATGACTGATTTGTCATCTAACGTTGGATATCACATTCATGTGTAGTGTGTTATCACAGTACCTGGATTTAGTTAGTGAACATAAATAAATCGGTTGTTAATGTTGTATGCAATTTCCCGTATACAATTTACCATTGAAAAGAAATATACACGAAACGTAGATCATAAATGTAATCAATTCAATGGATACTCCAAATATTGAAATATCATAATTTTCTGCAAATTGTCATCTACGCCACGAGAAATGAGTGCAATGGAGCCACGTGCGCGTGCGTGCGTGTGTGTGTGTATGCGTGTAGGATAAATAAATATTTATATACAGTATATAACAGTTTATAAAACATTTTATCATACTCGTCCGATAATCAAATAGTTTTATATGCAATTAAACTTCGTTATTCAGTACGATAAACCAGGTTCCACTTTAACGGAGAACAACGAAACTGAGAAATGTCATTCCTAAAATATTGACATTCCAGGATAACGGAGTTTCAATATAACCACACTGAATTTAAGATGAAACAACCTATGTATTTCAACAATTTATCAATATCACCTGTATGTCATGAAAGTGTATTTTTCACATTTATTTCTTTTACGTGATAAAATAATAAATATATGTTATTTATGGATGTAAGGTTTTATGTTAATACGCCCTTTATAGATATTTAAAATATCACTACTGCTTGTCATAATGTAAGACTCTACGTCCACGACAGGCTGCATGCTTGTGATAAATTGTCGGGGACTTAAGGAAACCTTATCATGTTTCTTTCAGTCGGTGAGAACCGTTACTTTGTTCTCTGTGGTCAACTACAAAATGGTAACGTTTCAAATCTCACCGTTACGACAGATTATTCACCGGATTACAAGGCAACAATTCTACCCCGTTTCAATTAATAATTGTTGAGTAGAGGGGAAAACAATTACACCGACTAAAGTGTGGAAATCACGAGTACTTCGTCAGAATACCTTGCTGCCACTTGATTTCGGAAGGAGCCACGTGCGAGGCGCGAGGTAAGGCTGAGTATTTGCATGACCCCTGACCTAGAACAAAGGTTGTGTTTGATTGATTGATTCCGTGACATGTGCCAGATAGAAAGAATCGCACCGGAGCATTCACGGGCCTCACCTCGGCACGTGACCACGTGAGATGGGCGGTGCTCGGCTATTGACAGGAAGTCATGTGAGTGAGGCCATTGAAGGCATGCGCACTCGAGTGGAACGCTGCTTTCTCATTGGCTAGATAGCCGAAAGTTTCGTGAAATATTTATCAATACTCGTATATCGATTTCCAACCGGATCAATTTAATATTTAAGGGGGGCTTTTCCTCTCAGTTAGCGAAACTTCCGAGGTATTTGTTAAAGTGTCCATTTGAAGCAGTTTGTCGAGGTCTGTGTGAATTTTTCTGCCGAGTGTCATTTTGAGGAAGTGACAGAACCGTGAAATCATGTCTGACAGGAAACGAAACGGGGATGTGGACAGTTCGTCTGACAGAGAGAATTACGTAAGTGGTCAGTTTATATATGCTTCGGACACAACGACCAGATCTGCTTTATCGGACAGACCGTTGCAGGATGGTTCCAACCAATCCTGGACCTATTCTATTGACAATGTGATAAGAAGATCTGATTCGGACAGACCAAGCTTCCAGAAGATGAAGTCGACCAGCGTTTACCTGAGACCACACACTCCTGTAAGAAACGGCGGCAGGGACGTCCTGAGGAGACGCCGCATCGCCGCCAACGCACGTGAACGACGACGGATGCAAAGTCTCAACGTTGCCTTCGACGAGCTCCGGGATGTCATTCCAGCATTTAGTGATGACAGGAAGTTATCCAAATATGAAACTCTTCAAATGGCGCAGACATACATTGCGGCTCTGCAGGAACTGCTGGACAAAGACTGAAGGAAATTTCATACAGAACAACAGGGAAGATTTTCGCAGAAATCCTAGAGACCACGGGACTTTCAGAATAAAAAGACTTTAAAGACTCACTCACGTCACAGTGCTATATGTGACATGGCCATTGTGCAATGAACAAATGACACTGTCGGAACGAAAGCTCAACTGATGAAGATGAGAGGTTACCATGACGATACTAGTGCAATTTGTACCATAGCTTTAACAGTGTATCACTTGTATATAACATTTAATCATGCGGGACTTAACGGATTTGCAGATGGAAATGAGATATTCATCCCCGTATCTAGTTCTGACAATGGAGCCGTCATACTGTCAACGGTGATTCAGAAGTCAGGTAAACAATGACTCACCTTCGCAATTGACTTGCATGACATGGCAAAATGCAACATGAAAAATATCATATTCCTTGCCAGTAATATTTCTATATTTTTCGACTTTATTGTTCATGTTCCATGGATCTTCCAGAGATATTGTTCGGCTTTAGGAACAATGGCGAATTATTTTGTAACGACTGAAATAAAATATTTATTGAGAATTGTATCGTACGCGTCTGACTAATAAACCTCTTGGCAAACCTGATCCAAGCTGACATACTTATAGCGATGATGCTTTTACGTCCGTAAAAAACAGAATAAATTACAACTTTTCAAAGCTCTATGTGAGATTTGATATAGAGTTTAACTTTCGTGAATTAATTTGTAATTTGGAAATTGTACAATCGATTCTGCTGGGCAGAGACGTCTTATGAATGTGGAAAGGGTTTTGTCACTTCTATTATAAATTTGTATTTTAGTATGTCAGCTGATCAGGTATTGTAAAGGGGTTATACTCGATTTAAACATTAACAAGTAGAATTTAGGAGTTTTTCTGCATTAATGTTTAGATGACAGTGTCATATCCATTGGACAAAGATCTTCGGTGTTAGGCATAGCTGGTCTAGTCTATGTACGGCTACCGCCTGGACAAATGAACCGTTTATCATGTGTCACGTTTCCAAAGAATCTGAACTAATTAATGCCACAAAGCCTTAAGGGTATTCGTGCTCAGAGACCAAACAAACCGTAACAGACAAACTTCACTGAAACGTACCCTGACTAATGTCAGTTAATGTCAGAAATGACAGATTAAGCGACATCGTGCTTGTGGAGATGAACTGCTTGGTGGGTAAGCTTCCAGTTATATATACGGGTTATCATAATCACAATTATAACTAAACATAATGTGTCAACAAGTTGATGTCAGACGACCGAACATAGTTTCCCTATTAAACTGTGTTTATATACATATACTACTCGACACAAGATAAGAACACCAACAACTGGAAGATTAGGTGTTGGGATACCCCCATCCATGACAAAGAAACTTAAATCATGTGGAAAACTTTGGTGTTCTTTAGCCTTTTTTAAGTTGTGCATTTTATTAACCTTTGATATGACGAACTCCAAGAAGACTTTAGTCAATCAATCAACCAATCAGTCAATCAGTCAATCAGTCTTTTATTCAGGATACTAAGTAGTCACATGTCTATGGTATTATACCATCCACGAGTTACATGTAATAGTGTAACATTTACATGTGACTTTAGGCAGGGGAGCAGGACATTTCCCGAACACCTGGTGTCACCACAAAATACCAGTGATTCCTTCATATAACTGCCACTACTCTTTTATTGTGTTTATTTGTTTCGATACCTACTGGAGACGGATCATCCTCTGTCGTTGCCGTTTTATACTAAGTCAGTTTTGCCATATGCAGCATTCGCTGTGTACGAAATACATTGTGTTGTGCGCTTGGTAGGCATAGCCCTGTCATGTCCTATATCATCATATCCTTAACTATTACTAACCAAAACAACGATGGTTACCACGCACAGAAATTCTGCGTCAGTCTTCTAATACATGTAATTGAATTGTACAAATGTACTTTGATTAAATTCACCATGCATTAATATAGGTCTGGACATTAAAATGCAAACAGGATGAATTTTTGAAAATCCAGAGTCCTCTATGAAAATATAGCTATTGCCTTGAGCTGCATTAACTTACTGGAACAAACAAGAAATGGTTATTCCGTGAGTGAGTGAGGTTTTATGCCGCTTTTAGAAATATTCCAGCAATATCACGGCGGGGGACAGCAGAAAAGAGCTTCCCATGTGGGGAATCGAACCCGGGTCTTCAGCGTGACGAACGAACGCCTTAACCACTAGGCTACCTCACCGCCCCTGTTATTTTGTGACTGATTTGATAAGGGTATCTGGATTGTTTTTAAACCTTAAGTTTGCAGAGTCTTTGTGACTGGTTTCAGTCTAGTAACGTTTTGATACCGTTTGCATTTTTTTGGACGAATCCGACTTTCAAGTGTATATTTTCTTTTGTCCGGCTTTTAAAAGCACTCCACTTATACGTTAAACATAGGTTCAGATGAGGTTATGGAGTATTTGCTCCGTCTAAATACCACCCTAAAAACATTCACAAATAGTAACAGCCGCGGCGCATTAAGCATGCGAAGTGCTTCTTTGCTGTGAACAGCTCCTAATACAATCAATGTATGTGAATTGTAAACAGTTGGGACTGAACACACAGCGAATTACATGCTTAATAATGTGGTATTGCATAGGCAGAGTGTTAAGACGCTATCCGAGTAAAAACAGTATTTTAATATTGCAAATTTTCACATTGGAGACAACGGGTTTCTTTGGGGATATGAGATACGCTTTTACTTTACATTTATTCATTTAAATCACACACAGTGGTACAAGTGCACAATGATCATTAAATAAATATACATAAAAATGAGCGTTATATACACACGTTAAATCAACATCAGGATGAAGTGTTTAAAACTCGTTCATCGGCTTTGCGTTAAAAGTACAGAAATTCTGCAAGTATGCAGTGCTGTTGTTAGAAAATCGTCTTGCGAAAATTTCGTTGTAGCTAATATTGTTCAGAGGTCTATGTAAAGCTAAATTTTCACCCCTGAATAATATGATATTCATGGCTTGCTACAAAGGGGGGTGCATGTTCATGTCGCGAGGCAAGAGCACATTCTCGAGATATTGGTGCGGAGGTAGAGCTGACCCCACCCCACCCCCACCCACCCCAAATATGTCTTAAGGTTTGTCAACATCAGTCTCCTGGGTTTCAACAAAATGGTCAATGTCCACGGCCTGCATTACGCTGACGCGCCGTGAAATAACTGGAATAATGTTCAAAACAGAATTAAACAATTTTCACTCACTCACTCAATCACTTTATATTTTTTTCGCTATACATTTTACATGGATCTACAGTTCTAACATGTTACATTTACTCAACCATTTATTTCAGTATAAAACAAAATCTACCCGCCCGCCAGTGACCGGCTGTTGGGGGGCCTGGTGAATAATTAACGATGGATATCGGCAAGCATTCTGTGGACGGCAGAACGCCAGCTTGACATTAGTGTTTAAAGGAATCCCTACACCCACAAAATACATATATATTATTCATGTACAGTGATGAATAGTTATGAATCATTGATTCCGAATGTCTCGCCAAACAGGTAGGGGGAGGGTGTCCTACCCCTGATCACAGAACGACTTCCAAAAACAAAAACATGTGAGACAATAATTGCCCAACCCCTTAACATTAGATTAAATCGATATTTATCAAATTTTAATCAATTCTCTGGAAGCAACCTGTTTAATCGACCAGGGCGCCCATTCGGATGTCACCTGTCATTTTGGTTAAATCTCACTGGTCTGTCAATTTACATTCATTAACATTAATTTTGGGAAATATGCTTTTGGGGAATGTTTAAAAACATTATTTCTTTGTATTTAATCTATATATTTTAACGATCCTATGATTATACATTTATATTGGAATATCTTATAACATATGATAAACAATAAAGTAGATATGACATTTATAATATAATTCCGATCAAGACTTCAAGACCTTTAATAATACCTTTGGTATTCAAAAGCGTTGAAGGTGTGTGTATTTTGGGAAAAAATCAGGTATCGGTTTCATGAAAAGCTTTGCGTGGGGTGAAACGACATTTATAATATTTACATTGCATAACCAAGATAAACTAATCATAATATTTTTCTGAAATTAATACCGCTCTTTTTATCGCCAAATGAACATTCTCTATAGGCGACTGTGAAATTATTTAGCAATAATTTTGTAAATATTTTGTTCTTTCTTATGCGAAATAACACTAACTATATCTTATAAGAAAACTAATGTTCACACAATTCAATACAAACTCATAATATATTTTTATATGTTAAAAAATTACCAAGCGTCACATTGTATTCGGCGTTTAATCAGTACATCACTACGAAGGGAAACTACCAACTTCATTTGTCAAAAGCAATAAACAATATCCCTAAAAAAAGTTAGAAACCCCAGTTGTTAGTTTATCTTTGGGGAACACCAGTAACACAAGCCAGGCCGCTCCGCGTTTTCAAAGGCCCCGACAAGACTGGTTTGTGTGCACGTCCCGCTTCACTGGGTTCCCAGCTTGCAGGCTGGTCCTACTGAAATATTTACACTGGCTTCTGATTGGCTGATCCGTTATGGGGCCGATTAAGTGTTTGTCAACGTACGGTTACCATATGACGATTAGCATTAATGAGATAATGGAGGGGTATTGTTTTGTGGAACTGTCAAAGATTTTCTGTTGATCAAGCTCCAGGTCTTCAGGTCGTGCGATAGAGTAGTGTTAATAACGATGTTTTAAAGTGCACCCTACTCTCCAACAAAATTGGGATTTTAAGTTGATGAAAAGAACTATACCGTTATGATTAAGATCTTCCTTTAAATTGGCAATTATGGAAGTTTAGACTGTCATTAAAACTTAACCCTAGCAGAAAACATATTTTAGAGTGTGATAAATAAAACAAATGTAAAATTTAAACTTGATATTTGTAGCTCGATACATCGTGTCATTTCAAATATTTTTTTTAACTACTGAAGTGTGTTTTGAAAAATATTTGTATAAATATTTCGAAAAGTAGGTTCTTGCACGAATGAATAATACGGTAAAAGGGAACTGTAACGGTAAATTCGGGTTGCGAAAATGATGCTAAAACTGAAAGGGGAATGTGAATTAGCTGCTGGAGCAAAAAGAGGATGAGAATAGGCAACTGGAACAGAGAATTTGGTGAGAAATATTTGAGGCTGCATATGTTACAGTAAATATGTACAATCAGTTGATGTGTGTATTTACTGATTTTTTTAAAGTGATTGTGTATATTTACTGAAATTTTCAGGAAATATACATATTTACAGCCGTGATGTTGCTGGAATATTGCTAAAAGCGGCTTAAAACCAAACTCAGTCAGTCAGTCGTATCCCATTTGCGTAGATCGATGTTCATGATGTCAACCACTGGATTGTCTGGTCCAGAGTCGATTATGTACAAACCGCCGCCATATAGCTGGATTATTGCTGAGTGCGGCGTTAAACAACAAACAAACTGCTTGATAACGTTATCAAAACGTTATTAATGTTTCTATCATGTCCACTTTTGTGTCTTTTGTCCTCT